CTTCCCACCTTTTCACGCACATCTATTCTTATAGCCTTCTTCTCGACATCGACCGTCATCATCCACATCATGAGTTTCCATCCCTCGGAACATGGGTACAGCAGGCCTTGAACCCGGGTTCTCTGCCAAAGCGAGGAGGGCGACGTAAAATCGAATCATCTCAACTCTGATGCGGTTTAGGAAAACACGGCACAAGGAGAATATCATCCGCGAAACAAAGAAACACGCTCGAGCAATCAAGACTTATGCCTCGTTCGACAGTCGCGCTCATGATCAGCAGCCCCTCCAAATCCACATTCTTTGCCCGACCATCAACAGCGACCCTACCTGATCTCAGCGGGTTCTACTCATGAGGTCCAAGTCTTCTACGAGCACCAAGTCAGCAAGGGTCTCTCCGGAAAAGAGTGCTGTCATCGATATGCAGGTCCTACACGATGACCTCGGCCCTGATCCATACCTTTTGCGTGGACGCATCATTTCACGTCTGTGCAACAACGCGACGAAGGCACTGCTGATCTGTATGACAGGCTCGCCGTCTGAATGCAGGCGCCGCGCGCTGAGATCTCAAGACCAGACATGAGGCAGTACTTGGCTCTGTTGTCATCGAAGCGGAACCTTTTCACATGTACAGGTACACGTCAGCTGGAGTCGTGGTTGAGGAAGATTTCAAAACGAGCGTACCTAAATAAATAAATATATAGCATGTTGCTCCTCCAGACACCATCGTCGCATGTGGCTGGCATCACTTGGCATGGGTAAGTCCGCTCCTAGCCATGTTAGCCAAGAAGGAAACTGATTTCTTCTGTTGATCAAATTTTTCTGAAGCTTTTATTGCGCAGTACATTGGGTGGCAGAAGTTTGTGAAACATGCATGCATTTGGTTTGGTTCATCTAGCTAATCTATCTTCTCAGCAGGACAAGGACCCTCCGGACACGAACGAGCTAGGTCGAACGAGCCATCGAGTACCTCAGAAGGCCGAAGATAACAATGTCGTCGGTCATCTGCAAGAGTGGGAAACATGATTGACCTATGAGGTCGTGCTGGGGGGAAAAATTCGAACTTCGTTCATTTTCGAGTCATGCGCCTATTAGCTCGTGCAATGTCCTCCTTTTCAGTCGAGGATCCGCCAATCTCACTGGCTAGGAAAAGAAGGGTTAAAAAGAAGCAGCATCCACCAGCCACTACGTCCATTGCCAGCTCTAGCGAATGGAGACGGAGCTCAGTTGCTATAAGGGTCGTTTCCGAAAATGCCATCACCGACGAAGTTACCATCGAAGTGACCCGCATTGAAGAGTCCAGCGGCGCCATCGTTTGCGGAGAAGTCAGTGCTGGTATCGTCAAAGGATCCGAGATCAAAATGGCCATTGCTAAAGTATCCCGTGCCGACATCCACTCCAGCTGATGTACCGGCTGGAGTCTGGTTGACCGATGTACCGTTGGATGCTCCCGCTGAGCTATAATTGCTGGGCCACGATGTTTGAATGGCATAGGGAATATTCTGGGAGTGGCTGTGACCATTGGAGAGATGAAGACCGCCAACTCTGTTGCCGAAGGATGCGTTGGAAGATGCACCATAGCCATTGCCGGTCTGGTAAGCAAAAGCATCCGGCTGAACGATGCCATTGGACATTGCGCCATTTCCAAACGAATCGGTATCGACACCTCCGTTGTTGTCGAAGGCTCCAACGAATCCACTATTCATGTCTCCGAAACCGCCAGCGCTCTGTTGGTTGAAGTTGGTGGAGATCTGGTCCAAGGCAAAGTTTCCCCCATCGCTGCTCCCGAACCCTTCGGACTGCTCCATTCCCTGAGTCTGACCCAATCCATCGTTCTCGAACATACCAGCAGATGCTTGGAAGACTGAAGGATCGTTGTAGTCGTTGTTGTAGGCATCTACAAAAGCCTGACGATCTTGGTACGAATCTCCGTTGGATGGCATGACCTGTGGCCTACCGTGGTACAAGTTCTTGTACATGCCAATGTGGTTTGTTGTGCCGGATGCTGGTTCCATTTGAGCTGCAGCAAGATCCTCGAAGTTCTGGTTGTAAGGAGAATTGGAGAATTCGTGATCCATGTCCTGGTTGCTGAAGGTACGAGGACCGTCGGCATAATTCTCGACTCTACCGCCTACCACTTCGTCATCGCTCCCCTCATCGATCTCGTCATCGCTCCCCTCATCGATCTCATCATCGCTCATGTCGCCTGTATCCTCCTTCTTGATGGCTCCTACCGCGCTTGTCTTGTAAGGAGTCGTTGGCAGAGATACTACCAAGCTATTCTTCTTGTAGGGAGTCTTCTTTCCAGTCTCGGGATGGCTGACGTAGTCATCCTCGAGAGCCAGCCAAGGGGCGCCAGCGGCGACAATGTCATCCTTGGTATCATCTTCGACATCGCTGTAGTCGTCGATGGGTTTGCCATTGATGTCAGTTGTTCCGTACGCAGAAAGGTCGTGAGAAGAGGACTTGGAGCTCTGATGCTTGCGCTTGGGAGCTCTGGGAGGAGTATCCTCCTCTTCGTCACTATCCTCCGTTTTCATCTTACGTTGCATCGGACCCTTCGTATCAGACTTGACACGCTTAGCACGAGGCTTTCCGTATTCCTCGTCCGAGTCTTCGTTGTTCCAAGAACCCTCTTCCTCCTCGGATTCATCGGAGCCTGGAGCAGCTTTCATTCCTGCCTTCTTTGGCTTCGCAAGAGTAGACTTGGTTGAGTTTGGAGTGGGTTGTGCGTTGCCGTTCTTGGTCGGAGTAGCCTTCGCCTTCGAGCCACTTGAGGCAGAGGTCGAAATTCGGGAACCACCGCCTCCACGTCTCAATGGAGGTGGGACAGAGAGGCCTTGGGTGACCATGCGGATGCGAAGCTTGGCCAAGTGTTGTATCACAGCACCTCCGGTGATCCCTTCTCCCATAATGCTGCCAATCCCGGTCCATGGTACGGCGAGGCCTGCAAGGTTGCATTGGTACTGCATGGCCAAGAGCAGCTTCTTGTCCATCTCATCTGCGATGGTGTCAGCAAGGCGTCATGCAGAACGAGAAATGGTGATGAAATGAGAGAGACGGAGCAAAGCGGGAGAGTTGCACAATGTTGGACTAGCAAAGTCTTCGCTGCAATGATGCGCTCTGCTTTGAGAGGGTGTTGAGATGGAGACACATCAAAAGTTTTGTGGCCGCCCAAAGGTCCCAGTAGGAGTTACTGGAGGACACCGAAGAAGAAGTGCATTTCGAACAAGTACCTCATGGATTGAGGGATGAGCTCACTAGGCACAACCCCTTGTGTTCAAATGTGTTGGTGCAAGTGTTCGGTTGAGGATGCCAAGGAACCCTTGGCGGGCAAGCGCAAATCAGCAAAACAAAAAGAAAGATCACGTACCAGTCCAGCGCACCAGGTGACGCTTCTCAGGTCGTGCAGCATGTTGCCTAGCCATCTTTCTGGTCTTCTTGGTCTTCTTGGTGCTATCGCTGACGATAGTTGCTGGGGAGTTGGTGGCTGAGGTAGCAGGAGTTGATGCTGGGGTATTGTTGGGGGTAGGCGGAACCTTCTTCGGGGTAGCTGGAAGAGTGTCGGAAGTTGCCTGAGGATGCAGCAGAAGTCAGTAGGGGTCGGCCGTTAATGACTATCGAGGGTGCAAACAGCTTGGGGCGAGACACCAGTGCCGTGAAGGCGCTGTTGGTGGTAGCGGATGCTACCAAGCTGCTCACGGCTCGGCAGTTGCATGATGGAGGATGGGTCTGTGTTGTGCAGGATGCGACGATAGTGGGAACGATGCAAGAGCTTCGTTGAAGGTGTGGAAGCGACGCTGACGGTGTAGCAATGCCAATGTGTTCGGGTGGATGTGTTGTGGTAGGGTAGGAAGTTTGTGGAAGGGGTAGGAACCAGCGGAAGCTTGACAACAACAGCTTCTGCCCAGCAACTAGCGCCCTTTGAAGACGCCAGCGCCAGCACCAGAGGTCTTCTCCGTTTCTGGTGAGGTTTGGGCTCCCGATGCCGACGCTGGATGTCTACTCCAATACCAGTGGGCTTGGGTCATCAATGCCAAAGCTGGACATCTTCTCCAACACCAGTGAAGAATGGGCGCCGGCACTGGACGTCTTCTCCAATACCAGTGATGTTGGGGTCAAGGGCACCTGCTCTGCAGCATCTGGGATCGAATGTTCTGTCATACACGTACCTGGTGAGTGTTCCGAATGCTATGATAGCTGGAGCAGTTGGTGGATATAATGCAATGATGTAGCAAGACTTGGAAGATGTTCCAAAGCAATGGTCTTGATAAAGGTATGTGTCGTGATGAGGGAGGTGTAGGTCCGAAGATGGAGGGGATTAAATACTCCTCGAGGCCTTCGATCACTTCCTCAAAAGTATCCCAGTGTCAGGTGAAGTGGTTCTCGTCTTCTTGTTGGGCAGGAGTACTTCATCCGTGGATCTTAGCCCTCGAATTCATTGGTCGAATTCTCACCGACTTCTACGATTTACGGTTCACGGCCCGCTAGATTCACAAAGACGGGTCTTGGCATCGAAGTGATCGGAACCGACGGGGATCGAGCTGGGGCAAGGGTGAATGGGCCTCTGTAAACGGGTGCAGGATGAAGAGTAAGCTTTTGAGTTGACAGCTTAGTGTGAAAGAGGGTGTCTAATGTGAATAGGGGCCCGCAAGATAGTGACATACATCCGCCTACGAAAATTGAGGAGAGAATGTATTTTCTTACTTGGATCTGTCTGTATCGGAATACAGATGTTGGGGGGGGGGTCTTCGGAGGGCGCTGTCCAATGTCATTGGGAAGTGGGGGGAAGGTAGACCTGGAGGGAAGAGTTTGCTGCTTGTAGGTAGAGGGAGATGCAAAAATGGAGAATCTTCCATTCAGCTATCAGCAGCGGCATCTGAGCTATCCATCTCCCCTTATCTCAAGCAGCGAACGTAACAAAGCACACAGCATGGCCTTTGGCCCATCGAACATGTCAAGCAGCAACCCATTCCTCTCGGCCTGACGTGTATCGATGGTATTCAGGCGGTGATCTCCGCGTCGAGCCCCGCTTGAGCCAGATCCGCAAGCTCAGATCCAATAACAGACCCCTCGCCGACAGCATCCTCGTACTTGCGCTTCTTGGAGGTGGGTGTATCGTATTCATCATCGCTACCGGTTTCCATCTTGACAGGCACGTCCTCTGTTGAAGAGTTAACCAAAAACAAGTGAAGAAGCGGTGGGATCTATACCAGCATCATCGACGTTGGCAGCAGCTTTACCCTTCTTCCCTTTGGCTCCAGCAGCAGGCTTGCGGGTCTTCTTTACTCCAGCAGGAGTAGCAGCTGCCTTGCGCGAAGCTTTGACGGGAGTGGTAGTTGTGGCTTTGCCGGGAGCGGTGGGATCAACGTCGGCCTGAGCGATCTTGCGCAGCTTCTTCAAGTGCTCCTGGACAGCGCGGGGAGTGCAGGTGACTTCATCGGTAGTCAACTGGAGAGATGTTAGGCCCGAGATCTTGAGATGGTGAATTTGATTGGGTACTTGCCTGTTGGGCGACGGCTTCAAAGTCGGGCTTCACATCGGAGACCTTGAGAATGGCAAGGAGGAGTTTGGCGTCGGCCTCGCCTGTGAGAGTGGGTGGTTAGCGTCATAGTAACGGAAAGTCGAGAGGCTGAGGCAGGTTCAGTGATATAGGGTGCGGGTATGGCCAGGTGCTGAGGAGGCTGGACGCTGAAGCTCCATGTACTTGTTCGGAGGCAGTGAGAGGTAGAGAAGCTCACTCACCGTTCCAGGTCATCGTCTGCTTTCCAGACATTGTGCTGGGTAGATGAGTTGGTGTTTTTGTGATGTTGTTCTTGAGAGCGGGATCGGGCTCGAAGCTGGATACTAGAGGTTGGTAAGTCTCTGTGAACTAAGGATTTTCTTTGACGATTCGCTGGATAGTTCGAAAGTGGAACTGCTCGATAGGATTGTTCGAAAAGCTACCGTTAAGGGAGGGGTGAAGTGTGAGAGGGCCAAGCGGAGGAGGGGAAGTGAAATCTCAATGTGAGGAGAGGAAGCTGGGAGGCATGTGTTGATGCTTGAGGGAACAAGATGAGAGCAGGTCTTAGTAACTGGCTGGCTCGAGGTCAAGCAGACTTACGCGATATCGGTGGACTGCAAGCAAGGATTTGGTGATTTCTGTGGGTGTCAAAAGCAAGCTTTTTGGATGAGAGCAAATGTTCATCATGGAAATCTGAGCTTCAGTGAATGAACAAGGCTCAGTAGTGAGAGGTGAATGCGCCTATTGGCTAGCTAAACTCTAAGGCTGACTTCCCTTCACTTGCACGCATATCAGTCCACCGTTTTCAAAGCAATGTATAGAAGAATTCCCAATCCGGCCCAATCCTGTAGGAGAAGAGGGACAGCACTGTAGACTTTTGTGTAGGACATAGACGCGTTTACCGCCGGCAGCTAATAAACGAGAAATTCCAGAAAATATGAATGATGCTCCTGCTTCCTCCCATCCCTAAACTACCTGAATGTTCAAAGCCATCTGTATGCAGGACAAGGAGCTTCGCATTCGGCTTTATAAGCACAGCCGCTCTTGAATAGGAGCCAAAGGACGAGGCTTAGAGGCCGTGGCCAGCCACTGCATGGAAGGCTGGGGAGCTTGGCGACACGATCGGAATGGTCGAATTTCCAGGAAAGAAGACTATACCAGTCGATGCGAGTAAGCCGAGTAGCCGTTTTGTACTGGAAGCAGAGGCCATTTTCTGCCAATGAGAAGGCGGAGTCTTCTGGGGGGAAGGCCATGACGGCAGACCTGTTAGCTGTTAGTATGTCTTTCTATTATGTTTTACCTACATAAGTTGTCGAGAAGACGCAGCTAGCAGAGGCAAGCTCTCCGCCAGTCATGATAGATAGAGCCTGTGCAGCCTCCTGGGCGGCCTTGTATCCACAGTCATGTTGGTATTTGTATTCACCGTCTGGCTTGCATTCAATGTCTGACCACTAGTTGGGTTTTCATTCATTGTCTGGTTCGCTTTCGCCGATTGGGCTTACATGCACTGTCTGGCTCTATTTCATCTGTCGGAACTGACTTTCCTTCACCAACTGGGTTTGCATTCACCCTTTGGCTCTTATTCATCCCTTGAAGCTGTATTTGCCGCTTGGCTTGCGTTCGTCTTCTGGCATACATTGATCCAGACTACCCAATTCACCCTTGGGATCTGGGGCTGTTTTTTCTTTTGCAAAAGAGAAGAGAATTCAATTACTTAGGAAGCTGCTTGTAGATTGGGAAAGGGTCTGCGCATAAGATGGATACAAAGGCGGTCCTGTGAGACAGAGAGACTTCGCTCTGCCTGTGTGTGCATTTGCATTGTCTCTTATTGCTCTTATAGTAAAGGAATTGGACGGTGAGATGGGATCTCATGATCTTCATTGCGTTTGTCTGCTACATGCCTTGGCATTTGCCCTAGCGGCCACACGTTTACCACCATTAAAAAGACCGATCTTCAGCTGCTTGGCAGCACAAAGACGAATGAATATCGTAGAACGCTCTAGCAAAGGAACGCTGTGAGGATGGAATATGGCGTCCGCATAGCCGGCCTGCTGTGGGTACCAATCTCAGTCGGTGATGACGATGCTCTCGTGCAACCCCTGTCCGTCGCCGTTCCCAGTGGCTGGAGTCATGCTCATCGAAGCAAATTTTTGGTCAGCGAATCCACCATGGAACGCAGCCTGAGATCCATGGTCATGACTGCTAGACCCACCGAAAGCGAGAAAGTCGTCGAACATAGCACTATCATGGGCACCATCAAAGCCCATACCACCACTAGAAGGATACTGAAAGGCGCCAGTGGGGGCTGTAGATTCCGGAGTGCCTTCTTGACCCATGAGCTCCTCCTTGATAGGCTCGGCTTTGATAGGTTCAGCTTTGACCGTGATGCTGGACTCGGCTTTGACATTGCCAAGGCCTTCGTCGTCGTCGGTGTTGAAGTTGGAGTTGGTCTCAGCATACTGGTCTAGTTTGCGCTTCTTGCTGCAGGTGCCGGCGGAAGGAGAGGTTTTGCGACGAGGAGAGGGAATGGGAGTGTCGCGGATGCCGGAGGCGGTGGTGCCACCGCTCTGGCTCTGATGGATGCCGTTGGCCTTCATCATGCGTTCGTAACGCTTAGCACTAGGGACATGGTCAGCTGAAGGTTGCGTGTGGTAGAATGAGAGCTTGGGTAAATGAGTCTGAGATCCCTCTTGAAAATGTGGAGAGGAGCTTGTCCCGAGCAAGAGAAAAGAGCTGTGCCTGTGAAGAGACTTACGCGGCGCCTTTACTGACGATGTTGCACTCCTTAGCGACCTCGGTGAAATCGACCTGATGGCAGTCAGCGTCGCAGAAGTAAGTGAGGAGTGTAGGTAGGAGCTTACCTTCCCATTGTTGCTGTAGCGGATACAGCTTATTAGGAATTTGAACTGCTCCTCGTTGCTGGCGGGAGCCATCTTGATAAAGCGGATAAAGCGGACGACAACTGAGGAAAGCGGTATGTCTTTTGTGGTAGGGACGTCTTTATGTTCGTCTGTGTTTTGGTCCGGATCTTGGTTTGGGTCTTTGTCCCGGTCTTGGTGTGAGTCTTGGTCTTTGAATTGGTCTTGGTCCGGATCTGGATCTGGATCTGGATCTGGATCTGAATCTGAATCTGGCTCTGGTTCTTGGTCCTCTGGATCTTCGTCTGGTAGGCCAAATGGATACTGGTCTTGGTAAGTCGAACGTTTGACTCGATACTTTGGTTGATATTCAAGGCAGAAGGTACAGCGGCAGCAATCTTGAGAGGTCAGAAGATGAAGATGTCTTTAGGATACTGAGACTTACTTTCAATATCGCCGGGCGCGTCCAAGTATTTGTGCGCGAGTGAGTACTTGAATTTGCTAGGCTGGTAATGCTGTCAGTACAGGCCGTGCAGCAGACGTGGGTGAAAGAGCCCGTTGTGGTCTGCGGGGCAAGATTGTGAAGAACAAGAGGAGAAGAAAGGATCGGATACGTACGTCGCGGTGAGAGATCACAAACCTGCCATGCTTTGAAGCCATAGCAAAAGAAACGGGTGCAGCTATGCGAAGCTTTCAGGAAAACGAAGAGCTAATGGTTGCGTGCAGGGTGTTGTTTGCTCGGCTACAGCAAGTTCTAAATTTTGGAGGATTTAGCCTTGGCAGCCTTGTTTATTGCGGTAGGCACCCTTTTCACTCCACGCAATGCTAATTCTGCGTTCTGGCAAGAGGATAAGATAGCTATTTACTCGGGTACTTTACAGATAAGTGGACTAGTTGCTCCTCTTACATGGAATGGCACTCGAAAACGCCTAAGCCGGTAGTCTCGGTTCGCTGTTTGCAAGGGAAACACAGTGATAGGATGTCTACTCTCATTGGTAGTAGCTGCTACAAAGATCGTCACAGAGGCTCATAGATAGCCAGGGTAGCAAGGCTTCAACTCTGGAGACTACAGCAAGCTATGTCTCGTCTTCACAAGAGAATATACACTGTAGTCCATCCACGCATCGCACAACGACGACAACCATACTCCAAAGACCACCACCACTAAGGCAAGCAGGCATCTTTCAAAGAAGTCGATCCTAAGCTATCCGAGCTATGCTATGGAGACCTCTGTGTGCGTTGGAGACGTCAGGCAGCCTCCTCTTTGCCTTCCTGCTCAATCAAGGTTTCGGCTTCGCTTGCTGAACAACCATCAGTATGGGCTACTGATAGCTGCAAGGGAGGAGGGAGGTACTTACAACGGCCCTCGGGATTGACGTTAGCGGCAGCAGCCTCATTCTTAGCGTTGAGCTGGTCGACCAGGTCTCCAGAGCTCTTGGCCTTCTTGGTAGAACGACGGGCTATACAGCAGGTCAGCTGTGGCACGTATCTCCAGCTCGTGGGGAGATCTTACCTTTGGCAGGGGCGCTGTTAGCTTGAGGAGTGCCAGCAGCCTTGCGTTTCTTGCTAGCCTTAGTGGGAGTTGCAGTAGAAGCAGTAGAACCCTCGCCGGCATTGTCGTCGTCTCCGTCAGCGGCAGGAGCGGCGGGAGCAGTGGCGAGCTTCTTGGCCAGACGGCCCCACATGACCTTCGCGTTCCTAGAGTCCTGATAGCCCGAGTCGAGAGCTGCTTGGTCCCAGTTAACCTGTATAGTATCGCGGTCAGAGAAGGGGAATGAGTGTGAGGATGAGCTCGAGAGCCATGACGATGAGATTGCAATATGAGGTGAGGGGATGAGTACTTACGAAGGCGGTGATGCTGCCTTCGAAGTTCTTGACCATGGCGGCCATGAGCTGAAGCTCCTTCTCGCTGAATTGAGACATGAGTGGATTGGATGTTTGTTGCTGGTAAGTGTCTGGGTCTCAGAAGGTGGATCAGCAGTGCTCGAAGTCAGTGATCATGACAATCTGAGGGACGATGGTACTGACACTGTACGGTAGGATGATGATTACGAATGAAGTAGCAGATGAGGAATCAGTGTATGAGTATCTTGTGCATGAAATTGCTTGTTGTTGTTGATGGTTGGTGAGGGTTTCCGAGGAAGAAAGGAAGGGTGAAAGTTTGAAGTGAGAGTTCGCTGTGAAGTATTTTTATGTACCCACTAACGGGACGGGACTATCTACTTCCGGCCGGCCTTTTCAACCCCTCTCATGGTATATAAAAAGTCTACGAGCAGGTATCATGCCTGTCCTGAAGACTTCGTCCTCATGGTGCCTGCTGTCTACAGCTGTCCAATACACCGAGCCTGGCGCCCTGTAAGAATAGGTAGCACTATAACCAAATTCTTCTTGCCAACACCTTCCTTGCTGCCACTCCAGATGCCGAAAATATGCATGCGTTTATTTTGTTCATCGCGCGAGTTAGATTCCTACCCTATCCAATCTCTTATGACCACTCTTGCGCCTTCTACCTCTTCTCAAGTACCAGCATCCCATAAGTGCTCTTCCATGTCTACCACAGCCTCCGTTGCTCGATGATCGTTATATAAGAGTAAATCGATGTCGTCTGGCGGTAGAAGAGGGTGGCATGCTGAGGGGAGTCCTGTCTAGGAGGCGAGCCTGCTAGCTGAGGAGGCACTGCTTGAGTCTATGTTAGCTGCGGCTATTCTTGATGCTGTGTGAGCCAATAGCGGGTAGATTACCGATGCTCATGTTGCCTGCGAGGGCGGATTGACCTCGAGTAAGGACAACGGGGGCTACGTTGTCTGAGGTGGGAGGGGTGCAGACGTGGTATATAGGTTGACCGTACGTGCTGCGTTTCTCGCTGCTCGTTCACCACCACAACGTGAATCATCCATTCCCGATGAGATAGCATACAAGCGAGAGCGTTAAAGGTGTAGTTTTTAGACCGACGACAGAAGTGGCGTTAGCTCGTGCAAAGTGCGCACTATGCAGGAGTGTGCCGAGACAAGATGCGTGTAATGCGCAGTGCAATTTATGCCGTCGGCATCCGGAATCTCTGTTTGGTCTTGATCTTCCAGCTTGTTGTACATGAGGTAGGTTTGGTCTGATTCTGAAGGCCTTGAGTCTCTGCAAAACAGAAGGTACCTTGGGTGCCCGTTGAGGTTGGTTGCTGATCCCAAGAATGCATTTGGAAAAAAGTCTTTGTGTATCTGACCGCCAGCTTTTCTAGGAAAATATCGCTGATTTCGATCCCTGCCTGACCAACGAGTTGGGCTGATGAGTGCGCATTCGTAAATCTCGAGCCACAACTCCGCTGAAAGTCTGAGTAGACAACAGTGTCTAGATATATGGAAGACGAGCGTCAATCGTGTCCTGCTCTCGTGTAGCTGGCTGTAGTGACGAGGCCCGATAACATAGGAAACGATCCTGAAAGAAACGTTTTTGTATCCGATCACTACCCTGGGAATATTGTTGGCCACCTGACGACGATGGCAAGAGGAAGCGATCACGGACTGAAACTTTTTAGGATTGTGTGCAGCATGACGATGCCAACGCATGCGAGCTCGGTTGAGATCTCCGTTTTGGAAAGGTATAGTTGTGTATCTAGTCATCAGTCTAGGGAGTCTGTTGGCCTCCCAATACGGAGCTTCTTGCGCAGCCATGACAGAGCGACGAGTACCCTCATCAACTGTGTATGGGGATATGTAGTTGTCAGTGGCCATGGTGTTTGCTTTTTGCTTCTGAGGGTTGGTTGGGGTTGTTGATGGTGTAGGATGGAGGAGTTGATCAGAAGGTAAAATTGTTTGGTTGTGAACCCTGGTCACAATTTTCTCGGCACATATTCTTGTCGAGGCAGGGCTCGCCAATGTTCCCTTGGGAAACAAGGTCATCAGCAGCAGCAAGGTCACCCCTGGTCAATTCAGAACCACAGGACCAGTTTTGACGTGCTTTTTGCTCTTGAAGGTTGCGGTTGTTGATGATGTAAGATGGACGGGTTGAACTTGTTTTGGTTGTGAGCCCTCTCGGCACATGTTCGTGTCGGGGCTGAGGTTGCCAATTCTGTGGGAAACGAGGTCATCAGCAGCAACAAGGTCATCGCTGGTCGGTTGAGAACTGGAGGACCGATTTTGACATGCTAGACTCTGGACCATAGTGGCCGGAAGTATCAAGGAATCCTTTAGCTATGAACATCTGTCTATGATTGAGACGAGAGATGGCGAGTGGTATTTTTGACCCGGTACTGAGGCTAGAACCTCAAATCGAGTCAGCAATAGGATGAAAACAGGCCAGAAGAATGCCTTACTTGATGATAAAACTGCTTTGCGTGTGGCATACAGAAGACGCAAGTGGCCAGACTTCTTGATCAAGATTGGAGACAGAGAGGTGGAGAACTCTACCAACTCTGTGATGTGCTGAGCCGTTGTTGGCGGATTTTTCAATGCCTGTGTCAGATCTTGGCCTTCTGCCGCAGCATCGTTAATGTCCGTAGGTCAAGACGTTGTCTGGTGTACAGAGGCAAGGATGCTCTGGGTGAGTAAAACCCTTTGGATTCGAGCAGGATCAGGAAATCCGGAAAATGGATAAGGCAATACGCCCAAACATTGTCCGTGTAAGGTGGCAGGACACTCTACGGTTGACATAGATAAGGTTCGGATAGCGTTTGAAAGTGACCGAAAGTCTTGACTGCTTTTCGCGTTTCTGACACGAATGAAGGCCACTCAAGCTGGTAGAATTCGAAGGTTCGAGGGTATCTACCAGTGAGCACAGCCAGGTAGACCAAGACACTCGACGGTTGACACAAGTGAGGTCCGCACGGAGATCGAATTGATCGAAAGTCTTGCCTGCTCTTTGCGGTTTTGATATCAATGAAGGGCACTCAAGGTGATGGAATTCTGCTGTTCGAGGGTAACTACCAGTGTACACAGCCAGGTGAAGGGTGAAAATCAATATAGAACTTAGAGGTGATGATGGATGAGTATGTATCTATAAGAGCCACTGTGTTGGCATGGATGAGACCCAAGTAATCGAAGTGAAAAAGCGGACGTGCACCGTCAAGGAGATGTGGCACAAGACGAAGGAGCTTGTAGAGGTATATCCTGTAATGGAAGGACCCTCCCTTGATGATTATTGATGAAGGACGATGTCCCAGAGTGGGTGTGCTTGTGTAGGGAGAAGGTTGGTTCTGGTGGGAGATGCAGGCTTAAGTACCCGCCAAAGCCCGCGCTAAGGGCATTCATTTCCCAGTGCCAGCTTCATTGGGACTTGCGTGAAGGATCAAGACGAATATGTCCCCGGTGAATACTCAACCTGTAGGAATAGAATTAAAGATAGTTGCTAGGCAGACTTCAGACGGTCTCCGAATCACAGTTAAGCTTCATGTTTTTGCACTTTGGGTTCAGAGAGAGCCATCCACAGTAGCACTTGCATACACTGCAGGTAGAGACCCTAAATGAAATTCTATCGGGAGATGATGAACGGACAGACTGCTTGCGGCCTTTCTATCGTGCATGGGCCTGGAATCCTGTCACTTTGGGCTGGAGAAGGGTGCTTACAGGACCATCCACATGGGCAAGGCTTCTAGAAGCCGCTATCTAGAACTGGTAGATACCATGGGCTGCTGTGTGTTTGTTGGGGAGGGGGGGCTCGAGCCATTTCTGCATGCCGGTAATGGTAAATCCTGACTTACATAGCATCCCGTTCTCTCTACATCGTCAACAGTCATAGTTTCTTTATCAGAGACTATGCATAGTCAGGTAAGCAGCCAGTGAAAAACACTGCGTATATCACATGCTTTAAGGAATTGACAAGTTCGGTATCTCGTTATCTGATGGCCATTGTAGAAATTTTGGTCCACATTCTTTGAAACGTCTTGCTTTTGTTTGAATGCTCTCAGACGGGCAGTCAAGGAAACAGATAGAATGTGCCATATTCTCCCTAAAAATAGGGGGAACCAAGTATTCCTTGTATGGTATCATTTGCAAAGACTGTGGTACATGGGTCATATATTGTCTTGCTTTGAATGCATTCCATATTGTTCTGTCTGTCGGAAAGGAAAGTACTGTCTACTTGAGACCACTTTATTCTTGATCAAAGGAAAAACGATATTATAGCAGCAAATAAGGGAAGACTGTCCCAAACAAAAGGTTCTCCTGGAAGGACACTCAGAGGGAGCTATCAATGGCGAGGACTTGGATCTAAGGACATCAATCTTGGGGATGATTACTTCCTTGGAGAAAGGACAACTTGTTGTGGCGCTTAAAGTAGACATGAGAAGTCAGACGTGACGAATGAACGCTTCATTGAGTAGGATCAACAGATACAGAAGCAGCTCATTGCATGGTATGATAGGAAGGCATGTTGGAGGCACGAGTGAACCTCTGGACAGCTCAGTAAAATGTGGCACGCTATGCTAGCGTTCCCGGCGCACATAAGCAGCCATTGAAGCACGACAATTCCATCCTTCAGGGATTGCTCTTAAACACGATAACCATGCATAGACACATCTGTCCGTCCATATGTGTGTCTTAACGATGGAAAGTTGGTGTTTCCACATGTTGTCGATGATGCCAGCCAAATTCCATGCTCTTAAACCATTCCATCAAGGTAGAATCCCCCGAAGAACAAAGAATAGCAAGTGTGTTTCTCAGGCATGGTGTCGAAAAGCTTGAGCAAAGACGGACACTCATTGACGAGAGCTGGATGTCCCGGACGATGGCCAGTATGGATGAGAGTAAATCCTGAAAGGGGGGTTAGTATCTGGAACAGGGGAATGATGCCGCAGTGCTTACTCGGCCCAATCCATATCGTTCTTGACCTCGTTGCCAGGCTTGATCCCCATCTTCTTCGTTGCTTCCATACTTACGAGGTCAGTATAGGCCGTTCGGAGGCTGCACAGTAAGGCCCTTACAGCTTTGGATCCAGCTCGCCTTCTTTGTTGTTGCTGTCGATGTTCATCTCATCGACTCCTTGCCCTTTGGTGTCACTCATTTGCTGATTGCTTGCCCCTTGTTGGTCAGACTGGGCGCTTTGATCCATCTTGTGATCTTCCGCGCAGTGTCTCTTGACACCGAGTAAACCCGCTTCATGAGCTCCTCCGCCCTCTGTATCTTCCACGTTTCTCTTTCTCTTTGTCAGCTTAGAAAGGCTTGCTTTATGCTCTTCCTCAAGAGATGCGCTGTGTGGATCAATAACTCTATCTTCCGATCGGGTGCTGGAAGACATGGCCTTGCGTGTGTTGGTGAACAGGGAGGGGGTGTTGTAGAGGGCTTTTCTCGTCGAAGAGATTTATCGTCCCTATGGAAGTTGACTCGATTTTGCCGGATGTGCAGGTATGTGCAGTCAGCGTCTGTGCAGTTCTGAAGGTTTGGGAAGTCAAGTGGTAGGTGCAGTTTTGAAGGTTTGGGAAGTCAAGTGGTAGCCGTTCAGGAGTGCTTCGGGATTGTCTATTAGGGTTGCTTGCCCTTTCATATGTCTCAAACAACGGTAGGAGTCTAGAATAGTGTGTGTGAAGAGGCGATTTGGTCTGGAAATTTACAGCGTTGTTGTGGGAGAACTCGAAGCTAGTGAAGGATCCGCACTAGTCCATTTTTGTTTCCATCACATTTAGTCCATTACACTGTACTACTCTATTTAATTGACAAGGCTACTAAAGCAAAATCAGTTCTCCCAAAGAGGCTCTATCTTGACAACTGGCTCTGGCTTTACTGCAACAAGCTCTGGCGAAATCTGGGGTGTTTCCACTGGAGAGTACTGCAGCAGATTGCCATGGTTCACAAAAGCTGCTGACTCCAGGGACATCTGTTGCATCGCGTCAGCATCTGCACTATCGTCCGGCGACCACGTCCCATCCTCCTCTCCACCGAGCTCCGCCTTGATCTCCGGCTCCGGCTTGACAAAATGCTCCTCCTTGACAGTCTGCTCAACGCCTGACATCGCATCCATATTTTCCTCTTTATCCGCCTTGAAGACTGTCCCTTGATGCTCTTCTGTCTGTGTCTTGTTCTTGTCAGATTTGTCGGGCTTCGATGTCCTCTGACGGGGAACGGCGGCTCTGGCCTTGCGTGGGGCAGGTGCGACACCCTCCATCTGCTGCTTGAAGCGAGAGTAGCGCATGCGGGCGGCGTGACCGTTGGTGATGTCTAGCTGATCAGCAACCTGCTGCCAGTCGATCTATGAAGCTGAGTAAGTATATTAATTATGGCATTATTCAGAAGAACGGCTTACCGATTTGAGGTCTAGCTGTTTCATGATGACATAGAGGAATTTAGAGATGGCGCCATCAGTTGGCATGGTGCGGTTCCTCCTAAGGCTTGCCATACTGGATTCTGATCTTGAAGAGTGTTCGAGAAGACGAAGAAGGATGGGTGTGAAGATGTGGTGAGTAATCTTATCTTGCTGGATCGGGGCTCAATAACGAGTGCACAGCGCGTGGTATGATTGTGGTAGGGGAGGTCTGTTGGAGGATATTGATGCGAGTGAAGTGGAGTGATGGGACATAGAAATAGGTGAGCCTATTGACCGCTAACTTGGGCACGCACGCACCAGTAATGAAAGCTTTGCTGTCGCGCAAAGCGACATCAAAGACGTGGAAAGCCTGAAGCTTTGTTCGTCGGCTTCCTGCATCAAGCGAAGAATCTCTGCAGAGACTCTAGAACGAATAAAAGCAAACACGACAAAGTTATTGCCGTCGCTTCTTCGTTCTCAGTGTAGCTGACAGCGCCTTCTAGATATGCATCGGGATCGATGGTGGAGGAAATTGCGCATGGGCATGTTTCGAGAACGACTGATCCGTCCGCGAGGCTTGCACTATCTCTGGTGCGATGCCACAAAGCGAAAAGAAAGACTGGAGCCACAGGTCAGAAGCAGTACAAAGCTCGTATAGCTCGATGATCATCTGGGATGATTAAGAAGCCTCGAGATCAATAACGGCAAGGACCTCCGCCCATATATTTCATACATTGACATCTGACCAATGCTACAGCCTGGTAAACATTGGAGAGCACCGAAAACTTCTGCGTATCTATGCAATAACCCACTCACAGAAGTTGCAGGAAGAGCCGAGTCAAGGTTGTTATCGATTACAGATTCACTTCCTGGGTGATCGACAGCTAACATAAGACCCTCGATTACCATCCACCTCATCTTACTCTACTCATCCTCTACCTTTAACTCACTCACCTCCCAACAATCTCAAGAATACGCCCTTCACCGACCTCGTGCTCCAAAACACATCTTCTCCTCATATCTAAGCTCATTCAAACTCCTTTCTTACCACCACCACCTTTCGATTCATCATGCCTTGGGACGATGTTCGCGAAAAGCGGCTGTTGATCGAGGTGATTACGATCACCAATCCAGCCGTTACTCGCTCTACCTGGGACACCATTGCAGCGGTCATGGGAGACGGTTTAACAGGCGAGGCTTGTCGGTAGGTTCCATGATTCTTACATCTCTTTCTACAGCTGTACCGACGTCTCTACTATGCCATGCCGGTCAAAGTATTACCTCGGACGCTCGACCCGGCACCCGAGCTTTGCCTCCGGATACCGTCATTCACTTCAATCTCATCCATCCACTAACGTCCCATTCAGCCAGAAATTCCAATCCATCAAACGCACCGTCAAACCCGCCAACCCCGACGGCACCACCGCCTCCAAACCCGCCAAGGCCACCAAGCCGAAACCCTCAACCTCCTCCGGCACCGCGACCAAAACCCGCAAGCGCAAGGCCAACGTCAACGAAGACGACGACGACGACGAAGGAGCGACCCTCTTCACGCCAATGGCGCAGAAGAAGATGAAGTCGGAAAAGAAGGTCGACCGCGAAGCCGAGGTGGACGGCATCGGCGCCGAAATTTTCAAAGCTGAAGCAGGGGGGGAGGGCATTGATCTGGAGTGTGACGAGTATGTCCTCTTGACCCCTCTCTCGATCTTGCTTCGCTAATACTCTACAGTCTCTACGACGCCGCTGCTTAAGTGGAGGTCCGATCGACGATGGCCGGCTTGGGCTACAGGTGGGCTTTGTGGAAACCTGGCACCGCTTTACTGCAGCCGAGATCTCGATCGGTGCACGTCTTGACGGTTTTCGCGTTGGCTGAGAGAGGATGGGGATCAGTAAGTGTGGAGAAAGTGGTAGAGCGAAGAGCGGCCTGGGCATGTCTTTCGTTGGCAACGCTCGCACGCTCAAAGGGCATTTCTCGGATAGCGTTGGTTAGATAGCACGCAATCAGACCAGCTTCTGGGTTTTGCAAAAATGCGAATCGTGTTCTGCTTTTGTGACCTTTTGATCTGTGTTATCTGTAAGTGCTCGATGGAATATCTCATCTCGATGTTCTGGACAATCAATCCAAGCCTTCGCGATTGCACAATCATCATGATCGCCTGCGCTATCTCAGGAGCCATCACAGAACACATATCCATCTCAAGATCTATAAGCTCAGGCACCACCCTCCGCAGTCCCAATCCACCGGCTCAGAAAGACAGCATCCAACGCTGCGAAAGCGCATCACGTCCGAGACTAAAAAGCTTCGATATCCATGCCACCGTCAACAAAGTCACCGTCGTAGTAGAGGCTGGACTCGCCACCGTCAACGCTACCCTGTGCTGCGCGACCGCCACGATCGTTGTATCCGCCTTGGACATTGGCCGCGAAGTCCTCATCGTCCTCGGTGCTGGGCACTTCCAAGAAACTACTCGAGCTACGATAGATCGTCAGTAAATTCTCGAAATTATAAGACGATTTGGATGAAATCATACCCGCTCTGCGGCTCCTCCTTGATCCCCTTGCCGCGCTTCTTGGTGGGAGTCCCATTGCTCTTCCCCACGCGGCCGCCGACGGTCTTCTCCTTTGAGGGAGTGCCGACGGTAGACTTGGGCTTCTTTGGCGTGAGGGTGGCGGAGACGGTGCCACGGGTGGGAGCTTCGGGACGCTTGCCGGAGTCAACTTCTGCTTTCAAGGCCACTGCTTCCTTCTTGATGATTCTGAAGCGGCCTTCGATTGAGTCGTAGGTGGCGCCTGTGGGGTATCAGCATAGGCAACGGAGAAGCAGGAGATGGAAGGTGGTGTATTTGAAAAGGGTGGAGGATGCTTGAATCGTTGCCACATACCGTTGCCGTACATGGACGCGATCTTGCGGTAGTCGAGCTGGAAATTGAAAGTCAGCGTTGTTCTTGAAAGACTTGAGGTGTTAGTGTGAAGAGAGCGACGCTGCATTGACAGAGACATAGGGTGAAAAGGCCGAGAAGATGGAGAATGTAGAGGACCGCAAGTAATGATCAAGAGACTCTAGTCATGACTTGCAAACCACTTGATATGGCATGAAGTAAAGCTGTGAGCATACCTTCATATCCTGCGCAGCCACCGTTGCCGCCAGGAGGCGGGTGAATGCTTCCGGGTCTTTCCAGTTGACAGGCATACTGAGAGAGTTGGCGTGGAGATTTTTGGGTTGTGGAAGTTTGTGAGTGTCTTATGGAGTTGGGGTTGAGGTTGTGTCCGAGGAGCAGAAGCTGTGAAGGTCTGTGCGGGAGTGAGTTGTCCAGGCTTCAAATTCAGAGTGCAATTTGAATATTGTGAGGTGTTCGAGTTAGTAAATGGAAGTAGGGATCGAATGATTTGGACCAGAAAAGAAAGCTTAGACTTACAGTAACGAAGTGTGGTGAGAGGCAGCGTTGTGGTGGGAAGGAGTGGAGGTGATGTGAGTCCGAAGAAGCAGCTTGGATTCAACAGCTCAAAGACATGTATGTAATCCACGGAAGCCAAATCTTATATCCGGAGCGCAATCTTCTGGTGAAGCAAAGCCTGGAAGGATGCAGACAGGCACAATCTTCCACGGAGTCTGCTTCAAGGACACAATGAACAGAGCATATAACAACCAACCTCAAGAACCGAGAGCAAGTATTTGTATCCACTCCTAGACCCTTCGCGAGCTTGCAGAAAGGCCCCTCGAACTGCCTCTCTCAAGGCTCCGGCAGCACACGAATTCCCCCGTCGCTCTCAAGCCAGCACAGCTCCCCACGCTATGACTCACACCTAGGCCCCCTTGCAATCTTCTCCTGCGTTTCAATACAGTAAATAAGATACAGCGCATTGTCTCCAAGAGCAATATGATGCGTCACATTGCTCGAAGCTGTCGGAAGTTCTGTTTGGCTCGACGAGCGAGACGCTACTGCAGGTGCCATGCTTCTTTGGAAAGCAAAAATCCGCCGAGTGCTAGCCTGCGAAACAATCTGGAATGCACAAGGCCAAACGGGGTTTGAAGCAATAGTGGTAAGTACGGGCGATAGGAGCCAGGGGAGGTGGTGACTGGTGGTAGTCTGAGAGCATAAGGATTTGAACGTGCTATACCGGAGAAGGAAAGACAATCACGAAGGTGACGAGAAGCGCGGGGTCTTTTGCACGAAGCAGACTGTCAGCTAACAAGCACAATCTATTTCAGGTTTTTCGAGTCCATGGTCACTGTCCAGTGCCAGGTTTGATGCTCTGCATATTTAGCTCAACGGGGAAGCAGGGATTCCCGAACGCGTGAAACCGCGCAGTCGCGACAGCTGCAGCTGCGAGCACTCTACGCGATAATCCTTGCAAAAACGATAAAGGGGTTATTGTATTGGGATATGATGGTAGGGCAATGTTATCCTGGTAGTCATCGATGCAGGAAATTGGCGAAAGAGCAGGGTAAGACGAGTGGGGTCTGTGCATCAAGATCGCGAAATTCGGGATTGCTTATGGAAATCCACCACCAACGCTATGCTACGCAGCGCTACAAGCGATGATCTGCCACAATGTCCAAGGCTTCATCTGACCGAGGCGGGACCACTGCTCTGCGAGAACCCTTGCTGAAATGCATGTCCAGGATGTGCCACCTCGTAGCTGTCACGATCGCCTAAACGGCCTCCTCCAACTTGACAGCAGCATCCTTCCCAGTCTCTTTGAACGAGCCATCCGTAGCGTAAGTGTCTTCACTCGGTGCCACTGGGTTCGCCGAAGACATTGTTGCCGTTTTCGTCTTTGGCATTGTCCATGGTGGCGAAGGGGTCATCAAGCTTCTTGTAGTCTGTTTTCTTGCCCTTGCGAGGAGAGATACGCTTGCTGACACGGCCATTTACGGTCTTCTGACGTTTGACGGAAGGGATAGGAGTAGCGGGAATCTTCTCATCGTCAGTCTCGGCGGCGGTCTCCTCTTCCTCGCTGTTCATGGCAACGTCCGGGTCATCGCTGAAAGGGTCAGTACAAGATCTGTGGCGCAGGAACATGCAGCTCACCTCGGCCCATCGCTCAGCATCCCTCCACGCTTACGGCCCATTCCCTTCAACATATTGTTCGTGGCAGCAGGAACAGCGCGCTTGGCGGCTCTGTTGATTTTGGTGGGAGTGGAGAAAGAGCCAGAGCCGGGGCTGAGACCCAAAGCCACGCCTTCTTTACGAACGACGTTGAGGCGGTATGAAATGGCGTTAGCTGGGACATTGGGACCTATATAACAAATTCCATCAGCCGTTCCTATAGTCTTGGTCTTGTGGAAATTGAGGCCAAGTGCAGTAGCGATGTGATAATTGATCACAATAGTTGCTTTTGAGCTCGTGACAATCAAGAAAGACTCACCAAAGACTGCAGCGATCTTCTTGTAGTCGGGTGTTCCAGGGATGAGAGCTAGGACTGCAGCGAAGAGCTTGGCATTGTTCTCGGGCTTCTTCCAGTCGACTGCTGGTAGTCCCTGAACCATCTTGACGAGCTGCCCGAATATGTCAGTAAACTGAATGTTATTTTTTCAAGTAGGAGAAAGCGTGATTCGAGAGATCGTCTCCCTTAAGAAAAGTGCAGAGGTTGCGCAAAAGATTGAAAGAGTGATGATGTAATGTGGGAAGAAGACCCATTGAAGTGAGCCTAACGTCGCTCATGGAGCTCTAAAGGCATGTAATGGGTGGGATAGACTCACTGTGATGCTGTGTTTGTGGTAGTCTGGAGATGTATGTGAGAGGATGGAAGATCAAGAGTTTGAGCTGTAACAAGGGATTGAGAGCAGTCGTGAAAGGTTGTTTGAAGCTGAGAGGTGAGCGTGTGAACAAAAGGAGAGGGTTTGCCGCGGAGGAACAGCTGAAGCTCGGGTTTGGCATCCGAGGTTCTAATTCACTCGAGCTTTCTCAAGTCGGCAACAATGGAGTCAATGTGAAAACATTCTGCATTGTCAACGTAGGATGAGTCTCTGCAAGGTCGAACAAGATGTCTAGGTCTAAGTCGAGATCTTCTTAGATTCCGCGCGATTTTCCGAAGTCGCGGCGGTCGTGGAGAAGCGTCTCGTGCTAGAACAGACCTTGTCGAGAGATTTGGCATCAGAAGGAAGTCCCTCGGGCTCATGAAGGCATTTACGGGTGCAAGAGGAGGTGCTGTGATGTCCCAGGCAGGCCTATCATAGCATATCGAGATTGCGACCATACACGGGCTAGTCGTAGCAAGCTCTTAGAGAGCATCTTTTTAGATAGAGCAGTCTGTCTTCAACAGAGCATTTGCAAGATCTGCCATCAAACCACAAGAGTGCTCGAGCTCATCTAAGCGGATGTAAGGCTGGCCATCTCTTTGCTGATTTCTCACTGTGTCGATAGAGATTGGCTGGGCAAGCATTTGCAGTGCCTCCGCTTTGACCACCCAATATGCACTCTTCGGATCGCTGTTTAAAGAGGGCCCCCTGCAGTCTCCTTTTCCCAACCTCTGCAGCAGGCATGACTGACTCACATATGCAGCAGTAGATACAGGATTCTATAGAAGATGCGATGAGGTTTCGAGAACGGCCCCACTTCTCCGTAGTCCGTACTAAATTCAGGGGCCACGCTAGCAGCCTAGCACGTTAGCCTATTTCGGGTTACAGCTCGGCAGGGGTGAAGCTTCGGTATATGCTCGCTTCACCTCGGATGAACTTATAGTATATGCAGAATATATCCATTTTATCCTAAATAAACTCGAGCTAGATTTAAAATAATATCGGCACTTTAGAGAAAAATATAAATATATATTATATATATATCTTAATCTTTATAATTTACTTTCTACTATAGACTTTATTATTAAATAATATTTAAAATAATATTAATTATTTATTTATATACGCTTCTACTCGAACTATAAAGAGTAATTACGGGCTACTATATATGTGATATGTATATTTATAAGAGAAACCTTATCTAGTCTCTTTAGATTATAATTAAAACTCTTACTTTTCTTTCTTTCGCTATCTTTACGATATATTTTAATTTTTTTATTATATTTATATCTTAAATCTTTTAATTTCTCTTTTAAGCCTTTAATTTAGTAATTTTCTTTATTTATCTCTAGGGAATCGACTTATATAGCTATATATTAATAAGTAAGTATTAATTTAAAAGATTCGTTTAAATGATCTATCTAGTAATCGTCTTTATCTCTCTTAAAAATATTAGTATAGCTAGTATATCGCTAATTCTAGCCTCTCTTATTAAGGTTTATCTTTTTTTCGCTTATTTCGAATAGAATATTAGAATATACTTAACGTCTTACTTTCTCTAGCTATAAATATAGCTATCTGAAATAATATTCGACACTCTACTCGTATAGAGAAAGTATACGAGTTTAATCTTCTTCGTACGTGTTAAGAAATCATTATGATTTAAATTATATATATATATAGTATAAAAGTTATTAATTATCTATATGGTCTATAGATATATATATGTGCGATGTTAAGCCTACGCTAGTAGCCCTATAAGTATCTCTAAGATATCTTATAATAATTATCTATAAAAAATAGAGAAATGCTATATTCTTATAGTAAGAAGTATATATATATAATTCTTTTCGAAAAATCGGAAAGGAATAAAGATATCGGGCTAATTAGTGGTATATATTCTACGAGTTCTTCTATCGTAGTAAAAGCTTTTGAATAATGAAATGGCTCTCGAAATAAGATATCGAACGGTTTTAATTCGTTTAAATATATATCGTCTAATAGGTGACCCTTGTCTACAGAGGTCTAATTAGCTATAATCGACGCAGTAGATCTTTCTCTTATGTGCTTATTGCAGTGATGTATTATAATGTGATATTGCCCAGGTATGCAGAGATAGCAGGCTAGATTGTAGTGGTATTTTTCATTTGCTAAGTGGCGACTTGACGTGGGATCATGGAGAGTTAAGCCATGTTCTTAGTGATGGGGGCCTTGCTGCCGCTTAATTTCTCTGCAGTGTTCTCTACAGTCTTCTCCATAATTACCTATTGTAGTTCCTTCTCTTGCTTAACTGAATGCTCTGGCTAAGTGGCTTGCTGAGTGATAGGCTTAGTGCTTGGCTGAGTTGCTGGTTGAGTAGGTGACTGAGGGGCTAGCTGAGTTGACTGAGTGGCTGACTAAGTAGGCCTAGATCGAGCTTTCTATTAGGTCATCTTATTGTTAAAAGATAGTAGATCGAATGCTTTAAGTGCTTATAGCTCCGTAGGAGTCATGTGGGATTTAATTATTGCTATTATCTAATTAAGTCTCGTAAGTAGATCTAATTAATCGAAGGTATTTAAAGCTATAGTATATCGATAGACCTAGTAAAAGGATCGATAGGACGATGTTAAAAGATACTCGATGATGTAAGTATATTAGAGGTTCGGCTTAAAGCGTTATACTATTAGATATTAATATAGACTTTATATAAACGTCTAGAAAGACGTCTAAATATTCTATAAAGTAGAATTAGATATTACTATTAATTATTAAAAAATTATTATAATTTAAATTATATATATATGTGGTGTGAAAGTTATTAATTATCTATGTGGTCTATATATATATATATATGCGATGTTAAGCCTACGCTAGTAGCCCTATGAGTGTTTCTAAGATATCTTATAATAGTGCGTATCTATATAAGAGCGAAACTTTCGACTTTAGCCAGATTTCGATAAAGAAACCTTCGATCTTTAAAATAATATATATATTAATTATATAATAAAATTATATTAAAAATAAGTATATAATAGATATTAAAAGTAAGTATATAATAGATTTTAAAACTATTAAGACTAAAAGATTATAAATAAGAATTTAAGAAATTAGTATTATACGATAAAAGCGAAGTATATATTAAGTATATATTAATAAGCTTTAGTCTTTAAGTAGATCTTTACTAAATAAAGAATTAATAGAATATATATTTAATAAATAAATATTTATAATAAATAGAAAACTTCGTTTTTAATTATATTTAATTATTATTATTAATATAGATAAATAATTAATATATATAATAGAATAAGATAAGACTAAGCTATAAAATCTTAAATTTATATATATAGTTAATTATAAATTTAGAGTTACTATACTCTTAAATTAGATTAACTAAATTAGCTTACTAATCCTCTTAAGCTCTCTTATTAAAATTTTATATATAAAAATTTTATACTCTAAAATAATTAGCTTTCTATAAATATTATTAATATATATAAAAGAATAAGATAGGGCTGAGCTTGAAAACCTTGAATTTGTATATACAGCCAATCATAAATTCGAGTTCGCTACGCTCTTTGATTAGATCGACTGACTCATCGCGGGTAAATAAATTAGCGTCCGCAACCATCAAAAAAATAGGTATACGTTATTGACATATAGAATAACTTTTTTATTTTCTATTAAATTTTTGAGATTTTTTTTTAAATTGTAGAACGAAATATGGGCTTTCAGATAAAAAAAGAATTTCTAAATTTAGTCTTATAATTATTAAAGCGCAAGGAATTCAAATATCGCTCACCAAAGTTCGTCCGCAACCATCAAAAAAATAGGTGTATATTATTGACACATAGAATAACTTTTTTCTTTTCTATTAAATTTTTAAGAATTTTTTTTTCAATTATAGAACGAAACATGGGCTTTCAGATAAAAAAAGAATTTCTAAATTTAGTCTTATAATTATTAAAGCGTAAGGAATTCAAATATCGCTCACTAAAGATCGCTTACCTATTTACTCGATAGCCCTAATTAAAAAAATGATTATGAATTTAATTCATAGGCCTTTACTCGTTAATTTATAATTTTATAAATTATAAAGCTTAATTTACGCTTTCTAACGATATAAAAATTATAAAGTTTAACTTACTATTAATAAATTAAATAAATATTTAAATATAATAATTATATTAGACGCGTTCGAAATCGAATAATAATTCTTTTATCTATTTATATAATTATTCTTCTTCTATTATTCTATTAATTTACTAATATAAATATATTTATTCTTAATATCTCTCGCGGAAATATTACTAAACGCTTTAGATATATATACTTCTTTTACTTATCTCTTAGAGCCCCTATTAATACTCTTAAACTATCTCTTAATAAATTTATTATTATTAATAATTAAGGCTATAAGCGAGCTTAATAGCTATTTACTATTACTTCTAAACGCATTAAAAGACTCTTAAAAAAAGTCTAAACGAATTTATAGTTATTATCTTTCTCTATATACTTCTCTTAAATTAGTAATAATATCTTTTAATTTAGCGATACTATCTTCTAAAACGCGTCTTTTTCTTTTATTTATTCTTTATTATTCTATTTTAAAATCTCTTAATATATATTATATTCTAAATATTATTAAAAAGAAACTTTTAAATAAAAGGAAAACGCTATAAAAAATCCTCTATTATAAGATTTATTAATAGACTTCTTTAATAATAACTCTTTCAATAGTTTATATTCTTTTAATCTATCTTTTAACTCTTATTTAAGTTCTATTTAGTTTTTAATAAAGCTTATTAACTATATTACGCCTTATTTATATATTATAAAACTTATATAATATAATTTAGATTTTATAAATTAGATTTATAATCGCTATAATATAGCGTTATAAAAAGATAAAATAGTTAAATACTATAACGACGAAAAAACTAAAGTTAATATATCTAAAATAAATAAGATAGACGATATAAAATATAGCTATAAAGATATTAAAATAAGTATAAATAATTTAATTAATCTTAGCGAGTATATTATTAATTAAATTCTTTACTCTTTAATATTAAAAACTTTAAATCTTATTAATAATTATAAAGAATTTTGCTATTATAGCGTTTAATATAATAATATAATCTTTATAATCTTATAATAGATTACTATTAATTATTTAATTATCTTATATATATATAAAATCTAGAAAATAATTATTACTTATATATCTATTCTAACGCCTTTAAAGAGCGAAAAATCGATCTTTAATTAAATCTATATTATAAATAATATCTAAAATTAGTCTATAATATAATATAACTTTCTTTTAATCGCGTTTTTTATATTAACTTTACTAGATATAGCTATTATAATTATATTAATTAAATACTTTATTATAAAATAGCTATAATTCTTAAAAGTATCAATTTATATATTAATACTTTTAAATTAATATTCGAAAAGTTAAAGATCGATTTAAATATATAAGATTATAAGCTACTTTATAAAAATCTATAGTACTATAATCTATATATCTATAATTATTCTATTTTAGATAAAATTATTATCGCTTAGAAAGATAATATAGATAATTTATTAAATATATCTAAGATTAAGAATATCTTAATAAAGGCTTAAAGTAATAAGAGATTTAATATTTCATATTAATATCTAGCCTATATACTCTTACACTATCCTCTTATATTTTTATTTAATAAATAATTATAATATAATAATATATCTAATATAGATATTATATTAAATAAGAGTTTTTTTATCTATTAATATAGTTATAATAAAATTATCTTATAAATTAATAGAACTATTAGTCGAGGTAACTCTGTATAAGTAAAGCTTATCTGTCAGGAGACAATGAATGACTATGTCATGATTTGGTGTGTGGTGTAAAAGATGTTCATTATTCTATGTGCCTGCAGGGCAGATATGTGCGGTGCCAAGCCACGCTAGGCCCGATTGGGTGGTGGCTCTGGAAGAGGCCTTGGCGTACCGTGACAACATGCCCGCAAAGAAGGAAAAAAAGACACGTCCTCGTGGCATCCCTGGATAGCTACATCAAGCATGCGCCGTCCATATGTCCATGCACCTATCCTTGGCCTATAGCCTCCATATCCTTCGCGAATCGAATGTAGCCGAGCGGAGAGGCGAGTTGAGAGGCGAGAAGCGAGGTAGAAAGTGGAGTACTGCTGAGGCGAGGGGAAGGTTCTCCGCAATTATGCATAGTGGCCTGGTGTGGAATTGTGGAGAGAGTGCCCGCTTGAATAGGACTGCTGCTGCTGGCGATGCTCTGTTTCTCCGCAATGTTCTCCGTATTTTTCTCCACAGTTTTCTCCGCAATTTTCTCCACATTTGCCTGTTGCAATGGCCTATGCTCTTGTTCCTGCTCTTGCTGTGCCGGCTTTGGCATTATAACTGACTGCTTTTGCTGTGGCTGCAGTGGTCCAAATCGCTTGTCAAGTGCCTTGTCGAGCACGTCTTCTATGAGCTTGGTAATGGAGCGGACTTGCTCTGCTGAGAAGCCGGGAATAGGGCTGCTGTTGAGAGGCATAGCGACTGGCCTATCAAAAGGATCGCTTAGTGGACGGTGGGGTCGTGTAGCGACTCGTGGGACTGTGAGTACTGGTGTAGGAGCGTACTTGGTGTTGAGGTAGGTGGGGGCTCTGGGAGTAGGAGCACTGTAGAGGAGCGAAATAACTTAATAGACGCCTGTTGAATGATCTTCAGGTGTTGCTACCATGTTGTCAGGAGACAATGAATGACTATGTCATGATTTGGTGTGTGGTGTAAAAGATGTTCATTATTCTATGTGCCTGCAGGGCAGATATGTGCGGTGCCAAGCCACGCTAGGCCCGATTGGGTGGTGGCTCTGGAAGAGGCCTTGGCGTACCGTGACATTATCTTATATTATAGATCTATATTATCTATTTCTTCTATTCTATTAATCGCTAACTTTTTATAAATATATAATATAGAATTATTTTAATAAGTTTAATCGTCTTCTTTACTACGATAAATTACTATAATATTTTATTTACGATATTTATATAGCTATTAAAAATAATAAACATTATTAATTAAAAATAAATTAAAATACTATTTAAATTAATATCTATTAAATAATCGTTAATATTTATATTAATAAAATTATTATAAGTAATTAAACTAGTAAATAATATATTATTCTTTCTTTCTTCTATTAAAAAGACTTATAATTTATAAAATAACTCTATTAAAATACTATTACTCTATTTATTAAATTCGACTAATTAAATCTCTTTACGACTTTTATCTATAATTTAAAATAAATCGAGATTATTAAAAACTTTCTATTTAATAAACGCGTTATTAATTAATCTAATCTAATTATTAGAGTATTTAAATTAAAGCTAAAAATCTTTATAAATAATATAATAATTCTTTCTTTTTTTATTTAATAGAGTAATTCTTTAGATAATATATTAGTTAAATAGTCTCTAAGAATACTTCTAATATAGTTTAATCTCTTATATATTATAATTTCTATCGATTAACTCTATATATTATCTAAAAAATTTCTTTATTCTTATAAAAGCGAAGTATAATTAATTAAAATATCGATTAATTTTAACTCTAACTGATTTTATAAGTAATAAATTAAATTTCGATCTATATCTATATTATTAAATTTTAAAAACGAGGTTTATTATATATCTATATTCTTATTATATTATATTCTAAAGATTAATTCTTTAATATTATTAAAATAGATATTACTATTAATATTAAGATCTCTAATTAAAGTCTATTTCTTAATCTTTATACGATTATTATTAGATATATACTTTATAAGAATTATAGCTAATATACTATTAATAAAATAAATATTATTTTATCTTATTAGAATTTAGATAAAAATATATATAATAAGTAGTTTTCAAAGAACTTTAACGACTATACTATCTTTAAATTAAATTTTATATATTTTATATATTATTAATATAAGTCTATTAAGATATTAAATAATATATTTAAATAGAATTACTAGATAATATTCTATAATCTCTATTTATTAATTAAGTATAATGCTTATATTAATATAGAGATTTATATTAATATTATAATCTATAAATATATTTTTAAATATATTTATAAAGATAGCGATTAAATTAATCTTTAATTAAAATATAAGAATAATATAGATTAAAATAATATAGATCTAGATTAGATAAATAAGATTTAAAAATATTAAAATATATAATAAGTAAACTCTATAAAAGTGTTAGAGACTTAATAGTATATATAATAACTCTATATTGTAGTATAAAGAGAATATTATCTATATAAGATTATTATAAGTATAGACTTTATAGTAAGATAGAAAAATCGAAAGGCCTTAATACGCTAAGCTTAATTAGGCTATAATATAAGTAAGATTATAAGGTCGTTAAAATTATAATATTATTTTCCTCTTTAATTCGAAGTTTCGGCGATAACTATTATATAGTAGATATCGATTTTATAAAAAGTATATTTAGATATATATAAAGTAATATCTTTAGATATATTAACTTAGTATTCTATAATAGATTTAAGATCTTCTTATAAGTTAATATAGCTACTATAGATTAATAACGCTAATAGAGAAGATTATTTCGAAGATCTTTTAAATAATAAATAAGAGTTAATAGCCTTAGAGTAATAATAATAAAAGTTTGCTATTAAATTCGAATATTCTACTATATTCGTGAATAATTATTAAAATAAATTTTCCTTAGTTTTAAGGCCTTTATATCTAATTTTATATATTAGATATTCTCTCTTACTAATTAAGAGATTATTTTTTTATTTATCTAATTTAAATTAAATTATTTTTTTAATATTATAAATTTTATCTTTTTTATTAATATCGATAGAAGGCGATAAAGACTTAATTTATTTTAATAATAAGTCGCTATTATTAAGATATAGTAGCTATAGATAAAAGATAAAATAAATATTATTTATAAAAATAGAAAGTTCTAACTTATAAGCGAAATTATTTAAAACTTTAATAATTTTAAATAATCTAAAATTCTTATAATTTAGTAATTTACTAAGGCGTATAATTTTAATATTTCTTCTATTAAGTATAACTATATTTTCGACTTTAAATTTTAATATTAAGAGTTAATAACGATTAGCTTACTTTTTTTATAAAGCTTATAATTATTTAAATTAACTTTTTAGATAATTTCTTATAATATTTATTTTCTCGATAAACTTATTAGCTAATTTAATATCTCTCTTCGCTCTTTAATTAACGAATTAATTCTAAAAGATAGAGAATTTTATTTTTAAATAAAGAATATATTCTTTAATAAGAAGAAATAATAATATACTTAATAAGGCGTTCTTATCGAAGTTAGCTTCAAACTCTACTATTAATAATAAATCTACTTAATTATCTTAATTATAATTAATATAAACTCTAAAATATTATTTTAAGATAGCGTTAATATTCTTTATTTATCTATTAATTTCGAAGTAAAACGTAATAGAAAATTTAAATTTAGTTTTAATTTTAATTTTTTCATATAATCTTCTTTAGAAATATATTATAAACTAAGTACCTCGATTTAAGATAATAATAAATAAGTATTTTTTCTCTCGCTATATGAATTCGATAAAGATTTAAATTACTATCTTTACTTCTAAGAAGTCTAAGAGAACGAATTTCTTCTTCTTATTAAGTCTATCTATAATTATTATAATATATTAATAAAAATACTTATATCTAAAGTAGATAGATAATAATATAATAAAGTTAATAAAAATATCTTACTAATATTATTCGAAAATAAATAGAGATTTAAGAAGATCTTATTTACTCTCTCTATAAGTTTTAGATCTCTTATAAATATAATAACTCTTAATATAGTAGATAATAAAATTCGTTATTCTTAACTAATAGTAATATCTACTTAATTTATTATAGATTAATAATCTATTAGCGTAATCTTTAAATAAAGAGTTATAAATATCTTTAATAATCTTAATTTATAATTTAAAAATATTTAATATATATAATTTATTATTAATATATAATAATTTATTATAAAGATAATAATTACTTAATTTTAATTTAAGATTATTCTTAATTATTTTAAGTAGTAGCTTTCTCTATTTAGATATCTTTAATTAAATAATTTCTTAAACGATATTATTATAATTATAAGTATTTCTTATTTAATATAATAACTTAGAAATATTAATAGTAGAGATTTCTCTTAATTCTTCTATAAACTTCTCTTAAGAAGTCTCTATCGAGGCTCTTAATAGTAATTCTTTATTAGACTTCTTATTATTAATATTATCTTATTCGCTAAATTTATATAGTATTATAATTAGAGAAATAATATTTTCTCTTATATTATCTAGAAGTATAGTAGTAAAATATATAATATTCTTAATATCTTTATTAAGATTATTATCTTTAAAAATTATATAATATTAATAATAGATATAATCGTTATTCTTATTTTTAAATAGATCTCTTACTTATCGAGTAAAGCTATTAGATTTAATATTTTATTTTCTTAGATAATAGATAATATAAAAGTTAAATTCGAAAAGAAACTTCGCTTATTTTACTTAATAAGAGTTAAGTTATTTAAAAAATATAAAGTATTATAAGTTTTTATAATCTAAAATAATTTTAATAGAGTTCTCGATAAGAATACTAGCTAGCTTAGAATATTATTTCTTAAAAACCTATATTATAACTATAAGTTTCTTATTATAGATATTATAGTTATACTCTATAGAAGATATCTTCTTAAAGAGAAATATTATAGATCTAAATATTTTATCTTTATCTTCTTACAATAGAATAATAGTAATTATAAAATTAAACGCGTTTATTTCTAGTTAAGTCTTTTTATTTAAATCGAAGTAAATAAGTATAAAGATAGTAGTGAAAGCTTTCTTAAGTATTTTAAAAGCGAGTTATTTAAAGTATTCTTAGGCCTATAAATAGATAAAGTCTTTTTTCTATTAAGTATAAATAAAGTTTATTAAAGATATAGCGATTTTAGAATACCTTATAATAAACTTTTAATAGAAATTAGCGAATTCTAGAAATATTTATATATCTTTAATATATCTAGATTTCTTTTATTAAGTAATAATCTTAATTTTCTTTATATCTATTTTTACTTCTTTTATTATAATAATTAATTCTAGATATTTAACTCTAATAATATATAAATTATATTTATTAATATTAAGATAGAGATTAGCTTATCGAAATTTCTTTAATATCTTTTCTATATATTAAATATACTTATCTTTAATATTATTATAGATAAAAATATTATCTAGATAGATAATATAGAATATATCTAAATATTTATATAAGATATTATTATTAAATATCTAAAAAGTAATAGAGATATTATATAATCTAAAAGATATTATTATATATTCGAATAGATTATATCGAGTAAAAAATATAATTTTTTTCTTATAATTCTTTTTTACTCTAATTTCATTAAAAGCGATTATAATATCGAATTTACTATATATTTTCGCCGCGTATAATTTAGCGAAAATCTCTTTAATTAATAAAGAAGTATTTTAATTAGAGATAATAAGTATATTAAAAGCTCTATAGTTTATATATAGTCTAAATCTCTTATTAAGTTTCTTTATAATTAGAATAGATATTATATAGAGAGAAGTACTTAATCTAATATAGTCTTTTCTTAATATCTTATTAAT